GTGCGGTCAGTGGAGCGCAGAAGCGGAAGCGTATATGCAGTTGTCCCTTCGTAGGAGCGCAAGCGCAGGTGCGCTTAGGGTGCCGCAGAAACGAGTTTCAATGGCCTAAGTGATGGTCACACCTGCGATGGAAATTCCGCAGGTGCGGCGGAGCCACAGATGCGGCTAAGCTCGCAGAAGTGAAATTGCTAGGCAGAAAAGGGCTAATTTCGAGGGTTTAATTTCATTCTCTATTTTTGTACCTAGAGAGCTCGGATTGAGGCAAAAGTTTGAGGGATTTTCAGAGGAAACATTTGGGTAAGGATTCTACACTCATTTTTGACTAATATCCACTAATCTATCATTAATTTCTTCACTAATTAAGGATTTGGGTTGAGTAATTTGGGGAAAAGGTAATAAAATTCGTAGGCCGAATTTTGAGGTTTTGATCAAGATATTTGTATCAGATTTGAGTAATTTTGATATGGGTGAACTCGATATCAAATGAGTATTCATATTTTATGAGTTTTTACCCGATTTTGAGACGTGGCGATTTTGGGCGATTTTTTAATTTCTTGTTAAAGTCATGATTTCATTAATTGGATTAGTTTCTTATAGATATATTTATAGTATGTAATTGCTTTTGGCTAGATTTGAACCATTCAGAGTTAGAAAATCGAGGAAAAGACATTCTTATTGACTGATTGAGCTTGATTTCAAGTAACCTTGTGTGGGGAAAATTCCCCTTAGGTTTTGGTATTGTTATGGTATTTGAAATATGTGGAGGCCATGTACGCGAGGTGACAAGTGCGTACTCGGTTTATACGTCGAAAAATCTGGTTCTTGCTGAGTAGTCTTCTTTTAATTCCTTAACTGAGTTGCCTTAGCATGTGTATTTATCATGTTTAGCCTAATATCACATGTCTACGTGTTTTGATCCTTACTTGCATTCTATGCAACATGCTTACTTGAATTTCTGTTTCCCTGATTTTGTATTCAGTCTTTAACTATAGGATTCCTTGTTCCATCTGTTACGAGTTGTGTATTTGCTTTTGGGACTACGAGGCGGTACCTAGGGAGCTCCCCATTGCATATTAACTTTTGGGACTACGATGCGGTACCTCGGGAGCTTCCCTTTTGCATATTTACTTTTGGGACTACGAGGCGGTACCTCGGGAGCTTCCCTTTTGCATATTTACTTTTGGGACTACGAGGCGGTACCTCGGGAGCTCCTTGTTGTGTATTTACTTTTGGGACTACGAGGCGGTACCTCAGGAGCGCCCCTGTTGTTTATCTCTATTGCTGTGTAGTCTTTCTGTAATTTCTCATTATTAAATTCTAAGTCAGTTCATCATATTATATTAGTTCTTTTGCCTTGTTTCTTTTTATTCCAGTAGGGTCCTGACCTGAATTCACTACTCTACCGAGGTTAGGCTTGGCACTTACTGTATACTGTTGTGGTGTACTCATGCTGCTCTTCTGCACATCTTTTTGTGCAGATCCAGATTCTTCCTATCAGGCCACATACCAGTGAGATAGATTGTGCGTGGAGACTTCAAGGTACATCTGCCAGCGTCCGCATACCTCGGAGTCCCCCTCTATCCTTACTATATTGTTTTTCCTTATTTTCCTTAGAATCTAATGTATATAGACACTTAGCATTTCTTTTAGAAGCTTATGACTTATTTCTACCGGGTTTTGGGAGTTGTAATCATTTTAAATTACAGTTTTATTTATTTCGGATTTTGAGATTTGAGTTTCAACTTAATATTCAGTTATTACGTATAATTGTTAGGCTTACCTAGTCTTAGAGACTAGGTACCATCACGACATTCTACGGAGGGAAATTGAGATCGTAACACATAAACAGAGGAAATAACGAATGCTACTATACCAAATATGTGTAGCTTATAAGGATGCTTGCAATATTTTAGCTCTAATTGGTTAAGCTCCAAATAAGAAAAGAAATACCCCAAGTTGTCCGCTTACTAATAGAACACTATTTGAAACTTGGTGGGACAATGCAATGGTACAAAAGCAAGTGTTTCAATGAGGATGCTTGAGAGAGAAGCTCAAGAGAAAATTTAAACAACTTGCTAGGACCGCGGATGTGATTAGAGTTGTGGATGGGGTAATCGGGTCCGGGATTTAAAATTTAGGGGTTCAACTTTTTAGGTTATTAGCATTGAATTTATTGTATTTTTATAGTTATTGATTCATATTTACAATTTTAATTAATTTTTATATATAAATTTATACACCAAGTTGAAAGTTATGGGTACATTTTAACTCGTCCTTATAATGCTATTTTCCCTCTTGGCCGTAATTATTGTTGGCAAAATGAATAAAATTTATATGTATTCGCTCATATTTTTCGCTCAAAAATAGGTTGGCAACTCGATTTAATAAAAGTGGGTTAAATATGAATCAACTTATATTATCCATTCAAAAAATGAATAACTGATGAGTTGAAAATTAGTTTCGCCCAATAATGCGATATCTTTTTCTTCGTTGTTATGCTCGTCCTCCATCTCATTCTTTTTCTCTCTCGCTCTCTCCAAGACTTAGACGGGTTCATTCTCTCTTTTGAAGTTTAGAAGAGCTTAAACGGCAAATTAATTCTTTTTTCCCTTCCTGATTGGGGGTATTAATATTTCGGTTCGATCGACTATTTTATAAAATTTATACCATATCAACTTTTTGGTTATTCTATTTTGTATTAACAAAATTATACTTTTCGAAGTCGTCCCAATTATCTCTATTTTTCTTTGGTATCAATATGATTCAATTAATTTTTGGTATTTTTCTTAAAATATCATATAAACTTCGCTAATAGAAGTTAGAACGCCTACGTACTTACTTATAACTTCGGCAAAACTCTCTAGACATTTTTATAATTTAAAAGATGATAATGTCGCCTCATTCATCTGTCCCTCGAGCCATCGTCTTCACATCGTCTTGTACCAACTTCAACTAAACTCGATTCAAAGTTGGCAACGGATCTTGAGCGAACAAATTCGACCTCACTGTTCCATATAGTGTTTCATCTAACCACATAAGAAAAAGATGCACCTTCTCTTCTTCTCTTTTCTTTTCAATGATTGCACCAAGATCTCACGATCACATGTGCAATTCGGTGTTTGATCAAAATTTAGCAAGTTCTTCCTAGAATTTTGTTAATTTTCCATAGTAATTAACTGTGGTTATGCCCTTCTATCTGCACTCCACAAGTTCGGCCTTCAACTGTCGTATTATTGGGCCACTAGAACCCGAGAAACGTTCTTCAATATTAGTGCATAAATCTTCAGCAACTTCCATGTGTGATATAGACGAACAAAAAGTAGGCTCAATAGCATTCCAAATCTAAGGCAACAACAAGTTGATGGTCCACCAATCTTCAAAATCTGGAGAAATTCTCATTGGGTCTCCTAATTATTCCATCAACAAATCCGAACATCTTCCTCGCCCTCAAGGCGACTCATGGACCTTGCCCATTCATCATAGTTTTGTCCCTTTAGTGCCACGTGTTATCAAAATCCCAGTCATTCGACATTTTATCGTACAGAGAGATGGTATTTCGTTTGTTTGTTTCATCACCACCACTACTCCCGTCGATAGTGGCGACGTCTTTACATTGTCCCCTACCATTGGTACATCACTCTGAGTTCCTTAGGTTTGGCTCGACCTTGGCTCTGATACCATGCCAAGCACGCAATCATATGGTAGCCAAGTGTGGAAGAGAAAGACTTGTCGTTTTCTATTGATTAACAAATACTCCCTCCGTTTTATATTAAATGAGATACTTTCCTTTTTAGTCTGTTCCAAAACAAATGACACATTTCTAAATTTGGAATAGTTTAACTTTAAACTCTTTCATTTTACCCATTTACCCTTAATGAGAAGTTTTTATAGCCACACAAATGTCATGACCCCACAAACTTTTTACCCATTAAGCTTTTAAGACCACAAGTTTTAAAAGTCTTCTTCTTTTTTCTTAAACTTCGTGCCGAGTCAAACTACCTCATATAATATGAAACGGAGGGAGTATATATTATAAATCAAGTTGTTCCCTATTCCTAACAAATATGAAAAAGTAGTCCTAATAAATATGGAAAAGGAAAATTCTCTGATAGAATATAAGGGTCCACCAAACTCTATAGACAACCAGGTTCTCTATCAGGCTCAACAGTACACACACAACAGTAAATAAATGACAAGAGGAATTTTACATGAAAAATTCCTAATTTAGCGGGATTAAAAACCACGGTCTACCCTTGTAGGATTTCAACTTCACTACTGAGCAACTTTTAGATTACAACCTATGTAACCTAGGAATTAACCTCTTAATCCCTCACTAACTTGTAACACACCAATTACAAACTACTTTGTAATAACTCTATTACAAAGACTTTACAACATGACTAACTCTAGCCAAGACTTGAACACACATGTTTAAGGTTTACAAAGAGTTTCCTACAGAATGCTTCTAAACAAGCTAGGTAGGGATTACAATTGAAGAACTATTACAAAGTTAAAACTCAATTAAGGACATACAATAACTCAATGTGGGAACTGGTCCGTAGTTACTTTGTTCTTTGTTCTTGAAGCACTTGAAACTTTCTTGCTGGATAGTCACGTGAATGAGCTTCTAAAAAGTTCAAATAATTGTGTTTTACCTCCCTTGAATGTGTATATACATGTGTGACATCACTTACAATAATGTAAGCAAGGTAGGTAAAAAGTTTTCCCTGCAAAGTTGACAGCAACACTGTTCCTGCACTGTAGCGTGTGCAGGCAGTAACTTTCCAGCTAGAAAGTTGACTTCGTACGGTCTCCTCGGGAACTGGTAAGGACCTGTTCCCTCAGTTGTTCCTTCCACTCTGAGGAGTTGAATCATTTTCCACGCTGAATCCCAACCTGGAACCTTGTGATCTTAAGGTTTTGTAAATGTGTAACAGATTCCTAATCTGGTTCTGGATATTAAGATTGTTAGATCATCAAAACATAAAGTAAAATACTTATGACCAAAGTACTTGTAACCTATCATTCTCCTAGTCCTAAACATACAATATATTTAATATCCATATATACACCAAAATAAATACACACGCTTTAATATTAACAATAGTTTTGGTATAGCGTCTAAATATTGAACAATTTATCTAGAAGAACTTGAATCATAACCAGGACACATTCATAATACTTACTATGGAAGTCCCTATCTAGTTGATCGCTTTGTAGTAATTTGCAAGGATTTTCCGAATAGAAACAAATGACAGTAATTAAGTCAAACTTGAAAATAAGCTAAACTACAAGTCTTTAGAGCGAGTCCGTCAAACATCAACTCCCATTGTACTAATTAAGTGGGTTTAATTTTCTAAACTAAAGTAGGAACATTTGAGAAAAGCCAATTTCTTATTTTGGAAAGGCTTAGCCTAGCTAGGAAAATATGTAATTGAAATAGGAGTGGCACTTCTGCTTGGGGTGAGTGAGTTCAAGTTCCAATCTCTGCAATACTCTGTAAGGCTGGTTTCCATTGCCCCCCACCATTATGTCTTCCCACCACACTCCTCTGGCTCGGCCCACTGCTGCTGCTGCTACTTCCTTGTTGATAAGTCTCATGCTCCATCTGAAAAAAAAAGTGCACAAAGATGCATGAATCTTGAGCTAAAGATGATGCTGCAGAAAGACCAATAGTAAAGCCAAAGACTGCATTTTCAGACCGCCATTTACCAATGACCAATTCAATTATGTTTGGAACAGAATCTCTATCGTCACTTTATCAGGCGCCCATTATGTTAAAATTAAATGATCAAGTCATACGATGACATAATTTAAGTACATTTCCATCACAATATTCCTTAAGCTTGCAAACTGAAATTTATTAATAATGATTCTCCCCTTGCTTTATATTTGAAAGTCAAAGGGTTTTAAATTGTCACAAGGGCCAAGGCTAGACTAAATCCAAGTAATGTGCAACTGCATGACTATTAATTTAGAAGTTGGCTTTTGTACTTTAAATATTAGTAGTAGTAGTTTTCATTATATCTTAAGTAATCATCGTTTCGTTAAACCAGAGGTCACGCCTTATGGTGCATTTAACGGCAGTTTCTGATTGGCATACTGGAAGTGAAACGCTTGGAGAAGAAAATAGATTCAGTGCCTCTTCGCTATTTTAAAAATTATATGCCCTAAAAGATTATTACTGACAATAAAACAGCATAAAAAATATTATAATACTCTAACAACCACTTGATATTCTGGTAAACTCTTGCATTTTACTTTAATTTCTCCTTCAACTCCAAAAAAAATATATATATAAAAATACCCATGTGATTCCCTTTATGATCGACAGAGATAAAGCCCGCAAAATTGGGAAGTGGACTAAAACATATGGAAGTATAATGATCAAGATATATATTCTCACTACACCTCCTATTAATGGCTTCTTATTAGAGATTCCACCATACCTTTTCATTATAACCAAGGAAAACCACATGGCTTCCATTATTTCATTTTAACAAACCAAGCAAGCAAATTAATGAAAGATGCATAATTCTAGTCAGCCTTTCCCCTTTATAAATTGTATCATCTCCTAATTATGATCTTTGCCCACCCTAGTGTTGTCCCACTACCAATAATATGCAACTCACTTGAGCTAACTCAATAATTGCCTGAAAAGAGAGAGTTTAAAGTTGGACAGATTCATCTACCTAAATTGATGGAATACATATTCCTTGAAGTTCAATTTAACGAACTCTCAAAATCGTACTAGAGCTAAATGCACTAATAACGACTACAACATGACAATATATCCAGAAAGACTTGGTAAAATATGCATTAGTTTGACTAGCCAAAAAAAAAAAAGAAGTATAGGAAACCATTTTTAGAATAGTTACCTACCAAATTATACCCCTATTTATTATAGAGACAATTATTTCAGGAATATGCGATTGTTTTCCCTAACAATTATTTCAGGCATATGTAAAATAATGTAGTTAGGCAAATAATACCACCAACCAAATATACCAATTCCTGTCAAATCTCAGATCATCATGGCCTCATAGGCAATAATATCACTAGCCATACTTCAAAGGTAAAACAGACAGAGGAAAGCAGGCCCAATATCACTATCCATGGTACAAAATATGTCTCTGTTTTATTACGTATTTATCAAGTTATAAGCTTTTCGTTTAATGCACTCAACTTTACGGATGTTAAAGATGCTTTATATTCTGTATACGACAATTGAAGGAAGGTATAGCAATCTTACTTTGCATCACCAAATCTACTTAGATCAAAGACAACAGAATCCTAAATTGCAAGCCAAATTTTTTACTCACTTTCAAAATTAAATAGTAACAAAATCTTCCAGTATCATTTAAATAACTTAACTGCAAAAGAAGACTTAAAATAAACAGTAATGTAATAATTTAAGTTTGTAACTCTGTGTTCAGTTGGTCGTTGGGTATATTAAAAGGGTGAAAATGACTTAGACCTGAGAATTCAAAACACATCAAGATCAAATATCTCCATCCAAATGGTCCTAAAGGAATTGTAAGAATTAATTACCTTAGATGGGATTCCATTCACCAATCTAGGCTTGACGTTCACTGCTGGTGGATCGGTCGAAATTTTCTTGGAATCAAGAACGAGGCCTCCACTTTCCCTTAGTAACTTGCCAAGTTTCATGCACTTCTTTGCTGCAAACTCTTTCAGTACATCTGAGAAAAATTGATCAACGATTAAAGACCAAAAATTGAGAATACAATGGGTTTTTTTTGTTTTTTTAAAGAAATAGTTAGTAACAAAGTCACGTGATCATGTCTGAAATTCTTTTACCTTCGAAGCTGATGAGTCGATAAACTTGTCCAAGAAGTAAAGTATCGCCGGGTCGGAGAAGCTTGAGCTGTCTCACGGGGGAACCATTGTCTGTTCTCTGATCAGTTGGAGAAGAGATAACAAGGGCGACGTAATGGCCAGGATTTGAGCTCATGACTTCATGTGCACTTATAGACCAGTAGATTCTCTCTATTTTGTTACCTGGATGTTGAATCACCACTGTTGCCGCCTCTGCCGCTTGGCAATTTCCCATGATTGATAAATACAACTAACAGGAGTAGTAGTAGTAGTAGTATCAAAATGCACAGAATATATACGTAGTAATGGTGTGAGTTATTTCACTTTTCCTGCCTGAAATTAAAGATGAATAGAAGAAATTGGTTGGGGGGATTTGGTTACTAGTGAGACAGAGACGATGTGATGGAAACTTTATAATTGAGAGAAACTGATTAATCGAAACTGACTTGTCAACCAATAATAAAAGAATGAAGGACAGAGAGGACTCTGACGCTCTTCACACTCACCTATGTAGAACGTACGATAAGATTCCAGAGGTGTGAGACAGAAATCAATCACTGAAATAGAAACCAAAGTAGAATCATGCTACAAGTATTGGGAACTTGCAAATAAGCACGGTTTTGTGTTGTGTATATCTTCGTGTAAAAGTGGAGACGGAGAAGAAGTAGGAGTTGTAAAGAAAATGATGTAATGGGGGAGTGCAGAAGAAGAAGAAGAAGCAGTAGTTGCCAGAGAAAATGATGTAACGAGGCGCGAAGTAAATTAGGAGCGTGAGAAGAAAGCATAAAACAGAGGAATGAGGGGTAGCTTTAAATAGAGAGACGTAAGAGAAAAGTATTAGATCTGCCAAACCCAACAACTGAGCTATATGGGTTACGTTGTCAAAGACTCAAAGCCTTTGCTGCTGCACAAACCAGGGGGTAGGATTTCTATTACTATTACTACCTGTATAGTTTATGAGCTAAGACTTCACGTTTACAGGTGAGAAACTGTGAAAGACAGAGAGAGGCACGTGGACCTCCCTTTTGGCTCTTCCATTTTTCCTATTCATTTTGCTGCCATCGTGCGTGTCACTGCAACTCTGCACATCTTTCTCTCCCTCTCTCTTTTTTAAAGGAAGGCATAAGAAAAAGAGAAAAAACATTTCGGAAGTATCGAACTTTACTCCCTCTCTTAAAATAAAAAAAAAAGAAGAACTTTTTACCATTTAGGGAGTCAATAAGATTTTATTTGATCATATTTTTTATAAATAATTTATAAATATTTTAAATTGTTAACTATTTTGATTTACAGTACTTTTTATATAATTTTTAAATAATTTTATTTTAAAAAACTTAAAGACTCTATGTACAACTTCATACCAAAGATTATTTTGACCTTGTACTCGAAAAAAGTTCAAACAAATTAAAATGTTATTGTGCTTAATTTGTCATAGAGAATGAAAAGGAATAGTAAAGAAATCTTACGGTGCTACACATATATGGATGTTTGGTTTGCGAAAAGACACTAGCAGAATGAAAAGGCGCTAACAGACTGTTTGGTTTGTGAGATAACCTATAGTATACAATTGGATGTTTGGATCAATTTTAACGACTATTATCACGATCTAAACATATACAATAAATAAATAAATATTATGTTTTAAGTTAGATAAAAATTAGTTACCGATAATACTATTAGTCTATGTTAAAACTTCACCAATCAGTATTGATTTGATGACCATATGTTATTAAAAATGTGTAAGACCATTTAAAATTAATTAATTTTATAGTTGTCAAATTTTGATCAACTTAAATAGAAAAACAATTATAAGTGCAAAGTTAAAATGAAATTGGATTTTGGAAGCCAAATTAGAGACCTTATAGAGTAATCGGATGTACATACAAAAAGTAAAAGGGGATGTCGTCGTCAATATAGTAAAGCTCTATAATGCCGCGATTATACTTGTCATAGCTTCAAATTGGAATCCTCGGTGAGGAGTCTACTTCGCTCCAAGCTTGTTAACCAACATTTATTTTTGTCATATTTAATTGCAAGATTATGTACAGGTGTAAACAAGCCAGTGTAATTAAATCCTTACAATGGGCTTAAATTATATAGCCGTGTTTCCTGAGAGTGAGGGGCGTTAGTGCAATGCCGTCCTGGTTTAGTTGGTGACCATACTCCTCTTAATTTGTACCAGAGAAGATAGAGTTAAATAATTAAGCGAAGTAGAAGAAGAAGATAGAGCTCTAAAGTGACACATGATCCCTTTTTTGTACTTAAATTAGGGACGTAAGTTTGTGGACTTTAATCTCTGCCGTCTAATATGACTCATCTACCATAGGAAATCCACTTACCCTAAATGGAGTTCCCTGTATCAATGCCTTTCCCTTTTTTCCTTTGACTGAAGCTAAAGTGCTAAACTACCATTTATTCATGTTATTATCAACCACAAGGTGTTGCGATGGCGCTAACTTTTCTATGGTAAAAAAGTATTGAACAATATAGCGCTCTTAATTAATTATCTCTTAAACTGCTACGACTATAAAAATTAAAATCTGAAGTGCATATTAAACTAATAAAGTTTTGGTCAAAATCTGACTGCTGCCGTCAAGCTAACTAACGTCCCGTCCAGGCGGCAAGGCGATGAAAGACGACATGGCCTATTCCACATCCAGCATTCTCGATACCCGTCGAGCCAGAAGAAACAATGTTTAGAGGACGACCGAGACAGACATAATGTAAGAGCGTCGGACCAAGTAGATAGCAAAGGTCTCATGACTATATATAGTAAGGGAAAACCTTCAGTTAAGGGGGATCGAGAGCTTCTCCCTCTCTCCTCACTTCCCTCTTCTGCAATCTTCCTAAAAACAAAAAGGAACAATTTAGCAATCTCCAAAGAAGAATATGTAACACAACCTCCCCCATTGATTAATGGGAGACACAACGAAAGTTCCAATAAGATTGGTTACTTCTATTTCATCTTATGTACTATTTATTCAGTTAGCGCATTGATCTGGAATTTATTATGTTTTACCAAGATGCCCCTTCACTTTCTTTGATTGATTTGTTCAAAAAGGTTCAAATATCTTTTGAATCAAATAATTTGGCACCGTCTGTGGGGATTTTTTAGTGAAATTTCCTAGTCTCTTCCAGATCAAAGATAAGAAACACGATTACCCACCAAAAAGAGCGCTAAGGCAAAACCCAACCCACGCCGGACAAAGGTGCAGCATAGAAGGGGAAGGAGAGCCGAATAGAGTCACCAAATTTAGAAATCCTCGCCCCATCAACCATCGAAATGCCAAACAAAACGAGCAACATTACAAACCTGCTCTCATGCACCGGTCCATCGGATGGGGGTAAGGAAAGTATCATTTTAACTCACCTTCTGCTCTTTGCTCAAGCAGGAACACAAATGTCGCGCGAGCGAGCGAGCAAAAAAACATCTCAATTAAAGAATGAGAAACCACTACAAGACTATCGAAATATCGCCCACCGATGACATCTTCAGGTCGGAAGGCGTGAATCAGGCAAAGAAACTCTAACATGGGCACAAAATGAACATAAGCGAAACAACAACGTTTCATACTCTCCGACATTATGCCCTCTGATGCAGAAAATATCAAGCAAACCGGGACTCCCCCGGAGGATGCCCGACTCTCCAAAAACTGGGACTGACGACGGGTTACTATTTCAATATGTTCGAAATAACACCCATTAAGGCCAAGGGCCTTCGCCAAAAAGAAGAGTTTGACCTCGATCGAACGACGACGGGATACTATTTCGATACATTCGAAATAACACCCTTTAAGGCCAAGGGCCTTCGCCAAAAAGAAGAGTTCGATCTCATCGAACGACGACGGGTTACTATTTCGATACATTCGAAGTAACACCCTTTAAGGCCAAGGGCCTTCGCCAAAAAGAAGAGTTCGACCTCGATCGAACGACAAGTTACTATTTTGATACGTTCGAAATAACACCCTTTAAGGCCAAGGGTCTTCGCCAAAAAGAAGAGTTCGACCTCGATCGAACGACAAGTTACTATTTTGATACGTTCGAAATAACACCCTTTAAGGCCAAGGGCCTTCGCCAAAAAGAAGAGTTTGACCTCGATCGAACGATGACGGGCTACTATTTCGATACGTTTGAAATAACACTCTTTAAAGCCAAGGTCCTTTGCCAAAAAAAAGAGTTCAACCTCGATCGAACGGCAATGGGTTACTATTTCGATAAGTCCGAAATAACACCCTTTAAGGCCAAGGGCCTTCGCAAAAAAGAAGAGTTCGACCTCGATCGAACGACGACGGGTTACTATTTCGATAAGTCCGAAATAAAATCCTTTAAGGGCCAAGGGCCTTCGCCAAAAAGAAGAGCTCGACCTCGATCGAACGACGATGTGCTACTATTTCGATACATTCGAAATAACACCCTTTAAGGCCAAGGGCCTTCGCTAAAAAGAAGAGTTCGACTTCGATCGAACGAAAACGGGTTATTATTTTGATATGTTCGAAATAACACCCTTTAAGGCCAAGGGCCTTCGCCAAAAAGAAGAGTTCGACCTCGATCGAACGATGACGGGCTACTATTTTAGTGCGTTCGAAATAACATCCTTTAAGGCCAAGGGTCTTCGCCAAAAAGAAGAGTTCGACCTCGATCGAACGACAAGTTACTATTTCGATACGTTCGAATAACACCCTTTAAGGCCAAGGGCCTTCGCCAAAAAGAAGAGTTCGATCTCGATCGAACGACGACGGGTTACTATTTTGATAAGTCCAATATAACTCCCTTTAAGGCCAAGGAAACTCACCAAAAAGAAGAGTTCGACCTCGATCGAACGACGACGGGTTACTATTTCGATACATTCGAAATAACACCCTTTAAGGCCAAGGGCCTTCGCCAAAAAGAAGAG